CTACGTCGCCAACAGCAACGACCCCGCCAAGCTCGCCGAGGCCTTCTCCCGGATCCTGGCCGGCCTCGTCACCATCATCGCCCAGGACCTCGAGCTCACCGTCACGCCGTTCCCCGGCGAGGCAACCATCGAGAACGTGTACGCCGGGACCTACCCGAAGGACCCAAAGGACCCTCCCGGCTCCTTGCCCGTCACCGTCAGGTTCGGCACCCTCTCCAGCGAGGAGGCGCGAAGCGTCGTCGTCGAGCTCGCGCTCAGCGACCGCACCGGCTTCCGGCCGTATCGCGCCACCGTCGCGGAGGTCCAATACAGGTTCAGAACCGCTCAGGGGCAGCAGGTCACCTCCGATCCCGAGAAGATCACCATAAAACGCAGCCGGAAAGTGGCCGCCACGGCAGTTGACGGCGCGCCGCGGCCGGTGGAGACCGAGGTCATCCGGCAGCAGCACGTGATCACGATCAGACAAGCGGTGGAGAAGGCCGAGAATGACAGAATGGACGAGGCGTGGAACGTACTGGCGGCGGCGCTGAAAAAACTGGTGGAGGCGCGGAAGAGGCTATTCGATCCGATACTGGAAGAGCTCCAGAATGAGCTCATGAAGCTGTTGGCGCTCTTCAAGACGAAGCAGCTGTACACACAGCACGGCCGCCCCTACGCCATTGCTTCGGAAGCTTGCCACGGCCGCCGGCGCTCCACCGAGAAAGGCGACGAGGCTGCCGGACCCTACGACACGCAACGCGTCAAGCAGTACCGCAAGCAGGTCCAGCAGCCCCACGAGACACCCCTGCCGTCCGCCGCTGATGAAGAGCTGGCGGAAGAGCCGGAGCCGGAGGCGCCACTGAGGAGGACGGCGTCAGTGGTGCTGCGTCTGCTCACGGCGGTGCTCAGCCTGTTGGCCTTCTCGATCATGGCCAGCGCAAGGACGTCCGGATGGGCCAGTGACTACTACGGCCGCTACGAGCCGTACAGGTAAGTGACCACTTTTTCTTTTTCTTTTGATTATTACTTTTCCTTTTTATTGTTCTTTCTGTTATCATCTTCCTCATTCGGATTATTGGATATGTCCGAAGGTTTGGTGTTCTGTGTTAGTACCATTTATTACTTATAGATTTATTCCTTACTTATAAGGTGCTAGAGGTCTATATTAATTTTTTTTCCAAGTAAGGCACTGTTTGGATCCTCTAGTTTCTTAAAAACCGGTTTATAGAAACTGAAATGGCTTGATTTCTAGAAAAAAGTTTTTAGTTTTTAAGAAACCAAGAATCTGGGCCAACCACCTACTCCCAGTTTTTGTGGTAAAAGACCCACTACACTTGGTTAGTTTTGGGTAATTATAGTCATTATGCCATCGGCTCCTCATTTTTATTTCACTCGGTCGACGCCCCCCCCCCCCCCCCCCCTAACAGTGCTGCGCCCGTTAAAATCCCCCGACATCGCCCTGCACACCTATCCCCACCCTCCACAACCTTAGCAGCCGAAGGAGCCAACAGAAAACATGGAGCGCTTGGCGCCAAATAAAATTGCCGCCAAATAAACCTGCAAGGAAAAAGCCTTAATTAAAAATAAATGATGGACAAGGGGGTCATTACCTACTAAAAAACAGGTTTCCAGTTTCTAGAAACCACTCTCCACCACCTAGTTTTCTTTGAGAAACCAGTTTTTAGCAACTAATCTCTAGAATCCAGTTTTTAAGAAACTAGAGGGATCCAAACAGGCCTAAGATAAGACCAGGGAAATTACATTCTTGTGGACAGCAAACTGTCGTGCTGATGTTTGCATCTTATCCAAGCACCATGTATATGGCAGCAATCTGAAATAAGAGTAGGGTAGGATTACTTTCAGTCTTATCTCTAGGAATGATAATTTCCATCTTATCCAAGCACCATGTCTCTGTATAAACAATCCACGAACAATTCTTCCAATTACGTAGTGTTCATATTCTCACACATGGTAGTTTAGTTCATTCCTGAGCTGCCTACACAGCTTACCCAACAACCCGTAGTTTAGTTGAGTCATCGATCTTTATCGGCTATTAGAGTTTTCCCCGTCATCTTTAGATCGGGTTTAATTTTCTCTCTCTTTTTCCTCGATCCCTCGTCGGGGTTGCGTTGCCTAGCCGTCCGTCGAGGTCCCAATGTCAATCCTCCCGAGGATCAGTTGTCGTTGCACCCTCCTAGGCTACAACGCCGGCTAGGGGTCAAGGCATCTACATCATCGTCGCATATCTGTCAATGGCACCCTCATGTCTGATCCTCATGGTCACGCCTGCTAATGGTCCGAGTCAGCACCGTTGTTAGAATAATCTATTGCTTTCTTGTGTGAACACACAAGAGTAAGGAAGCGGTGCCAAAAAGGCCCCCCTGGTAATCGTGAGTCATTGCCGAGGCGGGCGCCGAATGGTCATCTGTAGCCACATGCGTGGGACAAAGCAGAAGTCAATCCTGTTTTGTGTTATCTAGTTCAAGCAAAGCATGTGTGCTGTACTAGGACTAGATGGATAGAGTTGTATAAATAGACTACCACGGCAACTCAGTAAAGAGAGTTCAGATTTGCCATCTCCCATACAGGGCTTCGGCCAACGCTGGTGTCTGAGGCTTTGTTCAGCGCGAGGGCATTGACTTCGAGGAGGTCTTTGCCCCAGTAGCGCGCATGAAGTCGGTCCGTTTGCTACTAGCCTTGGCAGCAGCAAAGGACTGGCGCATCCATCACTTGGACGTTAAATCGGCCTTCCTCAACGGCGAACTGGCGGAGACGGTCTTCGTCAGACAACCTCCAGGTTTCGCCGTCAAGGGATAGGAGCACAGGGTGCTCTGACTGCGCAAGACGCTCTACGGGCTACGGCAGACCCCACGAGCATGGAACGCCAAGCTTGACGCCACGCTGGGCGAGCTTGGGTTTCAGCGGTGCGCAACCAAGCACGCGCTCTACACACGACGACGGGGGAAGGAGGAGCTTGTCGTCGGCGTGTATGTGGATGACTTAATTGTCAACGGCGCGTGCACGGAGGACATCAACGGCTTCAAGCGTGAGATGGCGGCTCGTTTTCGAATGAGTGATCTCGGCGCACTCTCCTACTACCTCAGCATCGAGGTGAGACAGGGGAATGAGGAACTCACGCTCGGTCAGAGCGCGTATGCCTCCAAGCTGTTGGAGCGGAGTAGCATGGCTGAGTGCAAGCCATGCATGACTCCGATGAAGGAGCGGCTGAAGCTGACGAAGGCCAGCACCGCGGCGAAGGTGGATGCAACACTCTACCGGAGCATCGTCGGTGGTCTGCGCTACCTAGTCCACACGAGGCCGGACATTGTGTTCGTCGTGGGCTACGTCAGTCGCTATATGGAGGATCCCAGAGAGGATCACTGGGCTACGGTGAAGCGGCTACTGCGCTACGTCAAGGGGACGGTGGATCAAGGAATTATCTTTTCCAAGACCGGCGGGAGTAGGCTGCAGCTCACTGTGTTCAGCGATGCAGACATGGCGGGGGACATCGACGGACGATGAAGCACCTCTGGTGTGCTCGTCTTCCTCGGGTCGGCCCCAATTTTATGGCTGTCGCTGAAACAGAAGGTGGTGACGCTATCTACGTGTGAGGCAGAGTACGTAGCGGCGGCCACAGCGGCGTGCCAAGTTGTGTGGCTACGCCGGCTGCTGGGCGAGCTGACCGACGTGGAAGCTCACCCACCAGCACTGATGGTGGACAACCAGCCCGCCATTGCCCTCGCGAAGAATCTGGTTCTACATGACCGGAGCAAACACATCGACGTGAAGTTCCACTTCCTCAGGGATTGTGTCGATAGAGGGCAGATCGTCATCGAGTTCGTCGAAACTAGTCGGCAACTCACGGACGTCCTCACCGAGCCGTTTGGACGTCTTCGACTCACGGAGCTGAAGGAGATGATCGGCATGGAGGGGTACAAGGGATAGCAGTAGGATTAGGGGAAGATTGTTAGAATAATCTATTGCTTCCTTGTGTGAACACACAGCAAGGAAAGGCGGCGCCGAAAAGGCCCCCTGCTGTGGTACTGTAGCCGCTGTCAGAGGCAGGCGCCGAACGGCTCACCTGCCGCACTGTAGCCACATGCAAGGACAGACGCAAAAGTCAGTCCTGCTGTGTTATCTAGTTACTGTTGCAGCATGTGCGTTGTACTAGGACTAGATGGATAAAGTTGTATAATAGACTACCACGGTAACTCAGTAAAGAGAGTTCAGATTTACCATCTCCCATACAGGGCTTCGGCCAATGCTGGTGTCTTGTACTGTGTGTATATGCTCTATTCTCCCTCTTCTTCAACCTCTAGCCATAGTGTGTGGGGACGGACAACACTTATTCGTGGTCGGCTTAGCTAGTGGGTGCTCGGCAACACTAGCAGGTGCTCGACAAGACTGATGAGTGATTCACTCACCTGAGCCGGTGATCCTGTGGGCTAACAACCGTCTGCCATCCTTTGGGACGCTGCCACCACAGATGTCATAGTTGAGCTAATGCAGGCTATGCTCTTTCATACGTCCGCGTGCTCATCGCCCTCACCATCGTGTGATCGACTCGTCATCCATTGAGTTCTTTGGCCAGACAAAGCTGATTTTTATGTATCCATCTGCTCACCAAGATGATTTTGGAATAGTGGAATTGCACCCTCCTCCACGGCTACGACCATGTCCACCTCGCCCTCAACTACATCAGCATTAAAGGGCTATCATCATCATCTTGAGGCAATCATAGGTCTGTTCTTCACTCTTAGCATCCACTTTGCTCATGCTATGACTGCGAGGGATGTTAGAATACATGGCAATAATTTGAAATAATCTGGCTATTATGGTAGGGCAGGGTTACTTTCAATCTTATCCCTATGATAGTTTCCATCGTATCTCTAGGATTGCTTAAGATCCTAGCACCATATACTCTATATAAACAAACTACGGCTCGATATATACAATTTATCCAGTTACACAGTATTCTTATTCTCACATAGATCAATGGCTTCCCCACCTCATCTATATCGATGACGCTCTTCCAGTTCCAGCACCGTGACCGTAAGCTCCATCACCGTTTATCTTCACTGATCCAAGTAGCGGAGGTTCCGACTGATCAGCTTCCTGGTTTCTTCCGTCAATATTCACTTCCCCACAAACCCTGGATAACGATCTGATAGGTTTCTTGCCCTTGTCATCACATAAACGTAGTTTTACTATTGCAACTCACATAATTGTCACTGGTATAAGTGGGAGTCATTGCTTTAATAGAAAGAGATAGACACGAGAGAGTGATGTGGATCCTCTGCAGTAATGCTGATGCATTAGCAGTCAATATGTGGCCCGGTGCGACACGTTAGTGATTGAACAGTACTTCAGGGGACTCAACAAGAAATCAAATAGTATATGCCATATATATGGGCAGCCTACAGTCATATGAGTGACGACTATATTGCATTGCCACTAACTCTATAAATACTGGTTGCATTGCACAATTCATATTGACGGACAATATGACATCATTGACTACCTTTATTATTAAGACTTTTTCTATCTCATTGCGGTTTGCTCAGGGGAGTCGACTGGCTTTGCGTCTGTTGCAGATTTGCAGCTGGGGATTTAACTTTTGGATTGATTGATTCACTAGTAAATATTACTTTGTTTATTTTTACGAGGCATAGATTGATATTCAAAAAATTCAAATTTAATAGATTTAATTTGTCTGGAATATGTTGTCAATTGGTACAGTTTTACTACCTAACCATGCATTATACGAACTGTGGTGTGTGATACTCCCTCCGTTTTTGAAATATAGTCGTGAGTTGTTAGGATAAAAGTTCTAGTTCATTTTTTGAACTAGATTTGTTATCCTAACGACTATATTTAAAAAAATGGAGACAGTACTTTGCTATGAAATAATCCGTCTATGCAATATATATATATATATATATATATATATATATATATATATATATATATATATATATAGCCGCTGGATGATGGTTAATAATCTAGGTGCAGGTTAGACAAATCCACAAAGCCAAAGAGTCTAGCTAGCAGTGCATATTGATCTTGCACCCAATTTTGATCACGAAAATTTCTCACTGATATGAAAGTAAAGGAACGGTCCTTAATTTTTTTACTGTTGCAGGTACCAAGGTTTTCTCTACCGGTATTTTAAAAATCTCGGTGGTCACCGATAAACAGGAATATCGGAAATTTATCGGCGATAGAAATAAAATTTCGGAAAAAAAATTAGACAAAAAATGATTTATTTTGTTCAGGAAAGCGCATAGATCATTTCTAAACCACTTAACATAAAAAACTAAATAAAACATATTATCAATTGCTTATTCAATGAGGAGGGCAGCGACACGGCTAGAGCGTGCGAGTGTGTTGAAGCGGTGGCAACTTGAACTTAGAATAGAAGAGGAGAGAAAATGAAACATGGATTAAGGTTAGAGTATTGGGTGGGCTTTGGCGTCTATTTGGATGACAAAATTTAAAAAATATGAAAATTTCGGACGATTAAGGAAAAATTTCGGTCCCAGCCGGTAAACGGGATATCTCGGAAATTTCAGATTCTATCGGCTTATATTTTTTTTCCCTGGCAGGTACACCGTCGGAGTGAACGTGATAGCCTGTTTCTACTCGATCGCGCAAGCATTTGTCGAGACCCGCCGTCCGGCCTCGCCGAGGCTCCAGACCACCTCGTGCTACTGCATCGCCCTCTTCCTCGACCAGGCAAGCATGGCAAGGGCATTCTTTGTATAATTATATTCATCAAAGCCATTGGTGATCTACTGATTTGCGAGAACCGGTTGAGTTCGTTCATCGCGCGAGGTGGCTGATGATTTGGCCGGTCTCGCTGCAGGTGTTGGCGTACCTCCTCATGTCGGCGTCGTCGGCGGCCGCGTCCCGCCACCACCTGTGGGTGTCGCGGTTCGGCAAGGACCGGTTCAACGACAAGATCAACGTCGCGGTGCTGTTCTCGTTCCTGGCCTTCCTCGCGCTGTCTGGCAACGCGGTCATCTCCAAGTCGAATCTCTTCAGCAGGATATGATGATTCAGGCCGCTGCGGGAGAGTGGAATGCTACTAATTCCACACTCTCTCTGTCATAGTAAATAGATATTTGCATATGACTTCGTGAGTTGGACAGAATATATTCTGGAAATAACTTGATATTCGTTAGTCGGAAAAGTACGGTGTTTGTTTTGGCCTGAAAGGAAACAATGGCGCATTTACAAACAATTAACAATAAAATATTCATGTACATAGTGTTTACAATTTTTACTATTTTTTGACAAAGGACTGACAATACAACTGTGCCATTCCTTCACGGAATTAGTTGGATGCTGCAGAGTAAGATACCGGGACGCTGGATCTTGGGTCATGAAAAAAGTTTTGGTACGAGAATTGTTTATTGGCTCTACTATACTTTGGAGGGTCATGCTAAGTTTAACATTGAAGCAGTATGAGTGGATTAAGAGTTCCACCTCTGAAAAAATGTCACCGGAACATTTCCGTTTTTCCAATACTAACTTCGTTGCATCAATACCCTCAAAAAAACAAAAAAGCATCTCAATAGTGGAGCAACATTAATCTGAACACAATGATGAGATAGTAGGTTACAAAGTTCAAATGTTGGAACACTCTTCACAATGTTTGAGAATCAGAATGTTAACACAATAAACTTGTCTTTGAATGCCGGCAAAGCATATATATGCCAGACGACCAGTCTCAATATCCTGATAACACAGACACAGTCAATACGTTCATCCCTCCGCCGTCACTGATGAAGGCTGGTCCCTCGTGCTACCAGCGGATGCCTGATGATCCCACGCCCTTCATCCAGGACGAAGCTGTGTTGTCCCTGAAGTGCACACTGGAGAAGAACGGCTTCAGGTCATAGATCTCACTCTTGGGCCTGAAACAACAGATGCACCAAGTCAGAATCCAGATGTTGCGGTGGGTGCACAGCTCGGATAGCCATGGAAGCATGCACAAAGGGTTACCTTGTTCTTCAGGTCCTCCACTTTGACCTCGACGTGAGTGAGGTGTGCGGTTGATCCTGACACAATTTCCTCAAAGTGAAGCGCATCCTTGACCAGTGTGTGCAGGAGCAGCAGAAGCAGCTCGGTGCAATCCTTCTTAAATGTCATGTATTTCCTGAAATTCTGAGAGCAGAAATTTGTGTTTATGTTTGCAGAATCCAGGTTAACTACTAAAAGAGTCACAAGACTGAATTCGCAATATCAGCACAATGTGCAATAAGAATGTATAAGCAATGTCAGTTTTACTAACAGAACTGGCATTTTTAAGTGGATAATCAAATACAATACTTTGTGGCATTGGATATATAATAGCCATCTAACAGTGGAACCTTTGGAAAATTTACCTTTTGAAGTGCTTTCTGTATGCCAAATTTCTGAGTTGAAATGAAAGAGTCAAGCAAGACACGGATTGCCATGTCCACATCTTCCTGGGACACATAGCTCTGTAAATGCATCCTTGCATGTGCCTCTGACATTCGGATAATTGATTCTATATGCCTTACTGCAATTGGGACCCCTTGACCATGCTGCAAAAACAGTTAGAAGCTACTTTACTTTCTCTTTTTTCAAATGTATCACTTACAAAATATAGCTCATATGGAGTCTATCAGACTAAATATTAAGAATAAAATCCTACATACCAACTTGAAATGTTAACATAGAACAATTAATCTGTCCATCAACAACAAAATAGGATGTCGTAAGTCAAACATATCCACACATAAAAGAAACAGATGAAACTGGAAGACAGAGCCCAAAGATGCACCAAAACAGCTCTCTAAGCTCAAGTAACTATATCTAATATCGTATCTCAAATACTAGTTTGTCAAGATCAAGAGCACAAATTAAAATACTGAGTTTCGATATTTGTTGTAGCATCCTTCAGAACCTAGAACTATTGTTGAAGCCAGTACCTAGATCATCGAGCATCTGTGGCAACTTCCGATCAGCTGCTGCCCTGGTCCTTATATCCCTTGCATCAAGCTCCGCTTCCGCAGCCCTTCGATCAGCTATAATTTCATCAAGGTTCCTCTCATCCTCCAGTGAGTCATCTAAACGAACAGACTCATATTGGTCATGCTCCTCCATCCTTCGGTAATCACTATAAACATGAAAAAAAAAAGAGAGAGGAATAAATTTCAGTACCCAGTGCAGAGAGCTCCCGCTCTGTGCGGGGTCTGGAAAAGGGTGTCAGTGGCAAGCCTTACCCTCGCCTGTGCAATGCGAGGAGACCGCGACTCGAACCCGGGACCTTCCGGTCATAGGCGGTAAGACTCTACCGCTTGCACCAGGCCCACCCTTCAGAGGAATAAATTTCAGTAAACAATGGAAAACTAAAAGAATTAGCAGGCACATATACATGATTGGTTTTTTTTTTAGCTGCAGGTATTTGATTATTCATGAGTAACGTTGTAAAATTAAATGCTTTAGTGATAGACTATGTAAAAGCAAACAATAACCATTTCAACAATTCATGCAAAACCACTTTCCGAATATTTGAAAAATCCGAAACAAAGAAATCACCACTAACAGTAATGTGTACCAAGGCAGAAAGGTACTGTTCAACAAACATCTCGCTGTGTATCTAACACAAGCAATTCCAATTAGCAAAGTTCAGAGATACATTAAGGCCCATCATGTGTCTAGTTCTGTACCAATTCAACAAAGAAAGAAGATAACAGACAATGATAAAGCAGCCTGATCTTGCTCACTGCAGTATATATATAACAAAACAGAATGCAATCTAGAAATTGACCATTTCGTCATATCTGAATGATGCAAATTTCCCACCCCTGAGGCCAATCACATCACATCCAGTTCTCCTAAAGCCCGAGATTTCCATCCCCAACACCAAATGTCGTTGTAGAGGTCCTCCCCTTCTTCCTCGTCCTCATCATCAGGCGCCGCCGTGGCGGCGGGGTCGTCGTCCTCGGGGAGCACGTGCGGGTCGACCTCGGCCTCCCCATCGTCGTCCGAGTAGCCTAGGAGGACGGGTCGGTGGCACCGCGGCTGGTGGTGTTGGGCGGCAGCCGATCGGTGCTGAACCCGGGCGACCCGGGCGTCGACGGCGGGTTGTTCTCCGAGTCATCCTGCACGAGAGCCCGGTCAACAAAGGGTCAGTTAGTCAGATTCGGCGCGGCTCACTTACCATTCCGGCAGCGGAAGCGAAGGTTCAGGGGCAGTGGTGGGCGGTGAGGATCTGGGTAAGGGTTTCGCGGTGGAGACGACAGAAAGAGCAGGGGATTGAAGCGGCGTGGCGGCGTTTGAGAGGGAGGGCGCGGCTTGGCAGGAACATTTGCCGGAAGGAGCAACGGTTTCCGCACAGAGAGACAGGCAGAGGCGGGCCTGGAGGCCGAGCCGAATTCGAGCCGTCCTGTTGCGGCCCTCGAAACAGAATCGGAGTCCAATTCCGAGTCGAACAGGCCGCGGCTCGACGTCCGCTATAAAGGGCCCTTCCAAAGCCCACAACCGCAGAAACCAGTTGCGCTTCAAATCAACTAGGGGCGTTTGGCACGGCTTCTCCGGCCGCTCTGGGAGCTGTTTCTACACTCCATCAACCAAACGTCCTCTAAACTCAGCTGCTCCACGCGAGAAGGGAAATCCGCTGACCGGAGGTTCAGCGCGCAACCGAAGCCGAAAATTGCAGCTTCACTCCGTTCCTTCTGGCGATGCGCACCGGCCTATGCGGATTGGACCGATGCACTTCTTCCTTGCCGTTCGCGGCCGCCGTCACTAGTAAGAACAGACCTATCCAAGGGCCAAACCAGGCTCTAGTCCCGAAAAATATTGTGTTCAAAACTAGAGAGACTTTTACTTTTAGTTGGTGACGGTGTCAAGATGGCGGAAGCGAGGACCTTTACGGTAGTTGATGGCTCTATGCCGGCCACCGCCACTTCCGGTTAATGGCCACCGGCATTGGAGAGAAAGTGACCTTTGATCCAAGGACCAAACCAGGCTCTAGTCCCGAAAAATATTGTGTCTGGACTAGAGTCTTCTTTCCTCCGATTGGTGGCTCCAACGAGAGTTAAAGGTCCCCCCAACTGGCTCTGCGCTAGGCCATTGTGGCAGGGGACCTTTAGTCTCTGTTGGAGCCACCAACCGGGACTAAAGGTCGACCTTTACTCCCGGTTGATGGCTCCAACCGGAAGTAAAGCTCTTGTCCCGGCTAGTGGCGTGGTCCGGGACTGGAAAGTGACCTTTAGTCCCGGTTGGATCCACCAACCGGGACTAAAGGTCCCCCTATAAATCCTGCTGGCCGTCTTCTTCCTCCCCGAGCCCGCCCGAGAGTTTCAGTTCAAATTTAAGCAGTGTTCTTGATCTTTCTCCATCTATTCTTTGATTTCTCCGTCGATTTCTTCGATTTCTCCATCGATTCTTCGGTTCTAAAGGTTACCAACTTCATACTCTCATGTTTCACCATTGTCTTATCTCATTTTGTTCACTATATATATATGGTTCTTTATTGTGGTTTTTTTCATTTGTAAGCAATTTGAGCTCAAAATTACTTCAAGCTTGCATATTTACATGAATGAAGGTTAAAGTAGCTATTAAAAACTAGTATTCACCGTTCATTTGTAGCATGCATAGCACACTTCATTGTTTAGAGATATAGAGAATTTTAGAGTTTTTTTTATTTTATTTGTTTATAAAATGAGAAATTTATAGTGTATTAAAAAATGAGTATAGAGAATAGATGGCAACTGCTTTTGGGTCCTCGGCCTCTCATGGGTTTCCAAAGCGACTTAGGCCGGGCCTCTCACTCATTGCATGCGGCAAGTGTTGTGATGAGACGAAGATTGTGATGGAGTACCGAGTGAAGAAGGAGGGTCCCAACAAGGGTCGCATTTTCTACAAGAAATTTGTAAAAAAATTGTACCAGGCCAGAGTCTATACAACCCAGAGAAATTAGGTGAACTGGGTACACAAATGTACCTGCTAAACGGGTGGTACATGTCGGCGTCTGATGCGGGACAAATCTATCTTTCTGTCAGAATTAGAAACCACCATTACTTTCGTGGCAATGACATTATCTATGTCAAGCTTCTAGAATTACACCAACTATGCCACCTGGACTCTCTCGACAAAAGTCTCATTAGCTGCTATTGTCTGTAAGTGTGATTATTTTCTACTATATTCACAATTTCTTTATTATATATTCACAATATATATATTCACAATTTTTATGTATGCAGATATGAGATGACAGGACTTAGAAAGAGAAAGGATAATGATGTTGGGTTCGTTGATCCGTATGTCGTATACAAACACCCTAACCCCCCGAAGGATTATAAGCCTCAACCTGAGAGAAATCTCATGAATTTTTTAGTGAACCAATGCGACAAAAAGGAGATACTCTTCCCCTACAACTTCAAATGAGTGTTATTATAAGTAATTAATGTCGATCATATATATGGGACATCAATATTTCCTTACTAGCTAGTTAGCTCACACACACACACACACACACATATATATATATATATATATATATATATATATATATATATATATGTTTATGCAGCAATCACTGGATATTGATGGTCATCGATATGGCCAATAGTAGATTGAAAATCTTAGACTCGTTGAGAAACCGCAAACGGAGTATCAAGACATGATAGGTATTATACAAGGATAATTAATTTAGTTTCTCTATAACAACATATATATATATAATGGCGCCGATCTCTCAATAATTATTAAAGGTTAAATTATTTTTTTATTTTATTGGAAGCAGGGTTTGGAAAATGTTCATTGAGGAATAAAAAATAAAACATTGCAAAGCGTCACTGGGTGTAATCGCACACAAAGTAAGTACTATAACTACATATTTATATTTAATTAACACCATACGATGATTTCAATTCACCCTAATTGATTTTTTTTGTCGTAAAAGTGGGTTCTAAGGTAGAAGCAGGGTAACAACTACTACGGATACTATATTTGCGAGTTCATCATGGCGTACTCAAAGAGAACTCCTGAAGAGCAACTCAAAGTACGTATATAAATACTTTTTCCTTTGTATTATTTTGATCGTATATTTACAATTTCTTTATTGCTCTCATTTGTATAAGTAATTATATGAGCAATACACATACATATATATATTAATACTTTTTCCTTTAACTTTTATTGAAGACTGAATGGGTGAGGGAAAGAGTCATACGACTTGACCAACTTAAAGCAATTCGAGAGACTATAGTAGTATTTCTAAATGACCAGGTCATCAACCCTAACGGTGAGTTCTACAATGACCCGAACGAAACGTGGATGCCAAATCTAGAGGAGTGAATTGCTAAGGACATAAACAATTTATATATCAAACATTTGTAATATATATATATATATATGTATGCACATATTATATGTACATAAAATAACGTGTGTGTATATATATGATCATCATATATATATATATATGGATGTACGCGTATATTCGTTTGTTATTTATGTACAAAGTTCGAAGGAAAACTTACGCGTGCGAAGTATACATATATATTACTATTAGCAGCGTATTCAAAAATGTATTTTAATATTAAAACTAATCATTAAATGAAAAAAGAAACCAAAAATAGAAACCAGAAAAAGGAAAAAAAAAGAGGGGCATTTAGTTCCGGTTGGTAACACCAACCGGGACTCAATGTCCTGCTCTGTGGCGGTCCCTGGCCAGACCTGGAGGCCCCCTTTACTCTCGATTGGTGTTTTCAACCGGAACTAAAGGTCCCATTTACCCCTTTAGTCCCGGACGTTAAACCTGGAGTAAAAGAGGGTACCTTTAATCCTAAATTAATGCTCCCGATTGAAAAATCAGACTAAAGAGGTTTTCCAACCGAGAGAAAAAGCCTTGCTGCACCAGTGCGTCGTCATGTGCGACTCTACTATCGATTGGTTTCTTGGAATGGATAAGCACTAATGGAAAGTGCGGTGGAATGTGTGGATAGGCACGGTTGTTTCCAATTATATATATGAGAGTGAATTTTCTACAGCTGGTGGTAACTACCCATGGGAGTATGGTAGCTACAACCCCTGGTAGATTATCAACACGTGTCCTAGCTATTCAATCGAACGACGTACACTCAATTCTTAAAACG